GGTTTCTTACATCGTATTGTGACTGGTGATGAAAAGTGGATATACTACAGTAATCCCAAGCGTAAAAAATCGTGGGTTAAGCCCGACGAAGCAGAAGCATCAATGCCAAAACGGAATATCCACGGTTCCAAGCTCATGCTCTGCATTTGGTGGGATCAGCTGGGGGTAGTGTATTACGAGCTGCTTTAACCCAACCAAACCATTACAGGAGATCTCTATCGACAACAATTGATGCATTTGAGCCGTTGAAAGAAAAACGGCCGCAATATGAGCAAAGACACGATAAGGTGATTTTGCTGCATGATAACGCTTGGCCGCATGTCGCGTCACCGGTCAAAACATACCCGAAATTCTGAAATGGGAAGTCCCACCCGCCGTACTCTCCAGACATTGCGCCTTCTGATTACTATTTATTTCGATCGATGACTAACGGCCTGGCTGAGCAGCACTTCACTTCGTATGAAGAAACGAAAAAATGGATCGATTCGTGGATAGCCGCAAAAGAAGTGTCGTTTTTTCGACGTGAAATTCAAATGCTGCTAGAAAGATGGAAAAAAGTAGTTTCCAGCGGTGGGCAATACTTTAATTGACTTGTTTTTTTATTATTTCTTTTAAATAAAGGATTTATTTTCACAAAAAACGGCGAGAACTTATTCACACTCCCAATATTTTATTTGTAAAATAACACATTTAAAAATGTTAATAAGAAATATTGTTATTTAAACTTCTATTTTTTACAAAAAATGTAGTATCAGGTAGTTAGGACAAGTGAAAATAATTCACATGTTTCCCTACATGAATAGAATTATATAAAAGCAAATATGTTCGTAAATGAAATATTTCACATACATACTTTCAGAAAACATAAATCCAAAGACATTAAAACATAATATTATTTAAATTTCTATTTTCTACGAAATGGATGTTAAAAGATAATTAGATCAAACGAAAATATCATTGCGTATATAACAGCATCGTGTATATTCACACCATATGTGGTAATTATTGACTTCTTTTTATTGGTAACCATGTAAAAATCAAAATAAAATAAAATTAAGTGTTCCGGACAGAACGAGTATGTCCGTGCGGAGCATGTAGGACGGGCGGTCGAGCCCCAGGTGCCGCTCGACTCGCAGACATCGATCTCCCGCCGCCAGTTCGCACCGTCACCGCGATGCGGCGAATTCGTTAAAGTTATCAGTTGTGAGAGCAACGTTGAATTTGTTTTTCTTAGAAAATTGAGATCTAACATTTAATAAGTCAAATGCATTATTAAACATGATACAAAATAATGCTGTCTCTTTGGGGGATTTGAAAGTCTGCGGAGCACATTTCTTTGCAAATCGGAGACCGCAACTCACACTAAGCAGCTTCACTAAGTGTTTGTGCTGCCAGTTTCACATTCATTTTGTTATGAGCATACATGATGTTTTTTAGTTAATTTCGTGCCAGCTCTTAATCCCTCTTCATCTTACATCTTTTGTAATTGCACAATATACTCCCATAATATATTTCGACCGTTGCTTTGTAGAATTAATTTATCTCCCAATGCGTTTCTTACTAATTTGATCATATGACAAGGGTCGAAAAAACAAAATATTTTTTTATTAGTAGCGGGATTTATAAAATAAGGTTTAAATTGTGGACCTATCTGAAAATTAGCAGCTAAATTATTGCACATGTTAATGTTAACAGTTGCTTCATCGAACGTCAAAGAATGTACTCTAACTCCTGTTTCTTCGATTAACTGTAAGCATTTTTCCAATAAGCTATCCCTTTCTTTACCATTCAACGAATCAATTAAAAAATATCCAAGAGGAATTTTCTAATGTCCGTTTAAAGCTACAGTCATAAAAAAAAAAGCATTTTTCGCTTGCGGTGAATTGTCCATATTAGTGTTGTTATTAACACCTAAATCAACACACCCATAAAAACGATTCCCGTCATATGTAATTTGTTGACGAATCGCTATCTCGTCGACTACCAAATTACAAATAACAGAATCTTTATTCATTCTCGTTTTACACTTGAGTGCAGTGAAGACTTCATCAGTAAAACCTGGACGGCCATTCATGACTACATACCATTTGCGAATTGTTGAAGCTTCGGGTAAAAGATTATGAAAATTTTTCCTTACATAGTTATACGCTTTCAATGAATAAAAATTTAAGTCTTTAAAGTCTTTAAATTTAAGTATTTAAAGTCAACGTAAACACTCTCAATTCTGCAGAGTACTTTTTCATAGTTTTTCTTCGTTTCAGCATTCCTTGCATCACTTCGGGCATCTGGGCTTTTATGAATAAAATATACATTACCTATTAATATTAAATCCACATATATTAAAAATACTTTCTTTAATCAGTTTTCAAATTTCACATAAAATGTGTCATTTCATATACAAGACACATTGTACACAGTAAACATGTAGCGCATAGAGAATTAAGTACATTATAAAAGTAATACATAAAAAAATAAATAACAAAAATACATTTACAAATGTCGAAGTAAATATAGTTGCGATAGTGCATAATTAATAAATAAATACAGAATTTTATATACAAGTGTATTCTTAGGAATTCATAAATGAGCAACCCACGATGTAAAAAAGTAATTTGTAAAATTAGGTACTTTAAAAACTAACAAGTAATTGTACCCAAACCTACTAATACAATATCTGCAGCTCCACCTGACACTAAATTCTTCTGTTTTAAACTTTTTATTAAATCTTTCATATGCAATATACGTTTTTATATCTTTTATTTGCTTGCTGCAATATTTTGATTTTTCTTCGGTAATTTAAAATATTTGATTTGGCTAAATATAATGCTTGCTTAGCTCTCCTTGGTGTAGCGAAATGTGATGATTGAATATCTCCAACGAATCGAGGCTCAACATATATTGGCGGAATTTTGAGAACACCTATTACAGCAGATACACCTATAATAATCATGACAAATAATGTGAGTTAGATGTGTGTGTGTGTGTGTGAAACATGTAATTTCAATATTTTTATTTTAGACAATGCATAAATATGTAATTTAATTGATATTTAATTCCTTTAATGCAATATTTTAAGAACGATAAAAGAACAACAGCATAATTTTTTATTATTTAAATTAACATAATAATTACTGAATAATAAAATTAAAAAATAATAAAAATTATAATAAAAAAATATATATACATAATAATAAAATAAAATATTTAATCAAATAAAAAATATATATACATAATAATAAAATAAAATATTTAATCAAATAAAAAATATATATACATATATAAGGTGTAGTAAAAAGAAATACATTATTTTTGCATGAAATTGAAGGCTTTATTTAGCATAGTTAGAATAATCCGATTTAGGTCAAATATGCACCGTTTTGTTCGATAACTTGTTGCCATTTTGAAGGTAATTCCATTATGCCTCTCTCATAGAAACCCTTGTCCCTATTGGCAAAAAACTGGGACGGTCGATTTTCACAAGCTTCTCTTGAGGCGAATTTTTCACCAGCAAAATCATTCGCCACAGACAGGAACAGGTGGTAATCATTTGGTGCCAGGTCCGGACTATAAGGTGGATGCATAAGAACCTCCCAACCAAGCTCCCGGAGCTTCTGGCGAGTCACTATCGATGTGTATGGCCTGGCGTTGTCCTGATGAAACACAATTCCTCTTCTATTGGCCAAAGCTGGCCACTTCTGGGCGATTGATTCCTTCAGACGGTCCAATTGTTGACAATACAGGTCCGAATTAAGAGTTTGGCCGTAGCGGAGCCGCTCATAGTAGATGATTCCCTGCGAATCCCACCAAACACACAGCAAAGCCTTCCTGACCGTCAATCCTGGCTTGGCCACCGTTTGCGCCGGCTCACCGCGTTTCGACCACGACCGTTTTCGCTTGACGTTGTCGTAAGTGACCCACTTTTCATCACCAGTCACCATCCGCTGCAGAAATGGGTCGATTTTGTTGCGATTCAGCAGCGATTCGCAGATGGAAATTCGGTCCATGAGGTTTTTTTGCGTTAACTCGTGTGGCACCCATACATCGAGCTTCTTTTTGTATCCAGCCTTATTCAAGTGGTTCCAAACGGTTTTTTGTGCAATGTTTAGCTCCTGGGCAATCGAAACAGTGCTTACATGACGGTCGGACTCAACGATTTCCATTATTTTATCGACATTTTCGACAATTGGCTTTCCAGAGCGTGGTGCATTTCTGACATCAAAATTACCGGAACGGAATCGATGAAACCAAAATTGCGCGTGATTGGCTGTTACAGTATCAGGACCATAAACACTATTCACATTTTCAGCCGCCTGGCTTGCGTTTTCGCCTTTATCGAAGAAAAACTGTAAAATATGGCGTATTTTCTCTTTGCTGGTGTCCATCTTTGACGCGCGCTCAAACAATACTGAGTCAAACAATCACAAAACTGTCTGAGAAGTATTTTTAATACGAAATCTTATCTTTCTAACGCCATCTAGCGTAAACCGATCGCACTTATACAACGCGAGATACACATTACTCAAGCCATCTATTGGAAAAATAATGGATTTCTTTTTACTACACCTTATATATTTTTTTTATTTAATTTATTTCTTACAATTATTAATTGATTTCTGTGACAATTACCTTCTGCAGGCAATTGGTACATCTTCATCGTTGTTCATCATTAATGCTTCATCATACTCTATAACTGAATCATAGTAATTATCCATCAATTGAAGTGTTGCATCTTCGTCATTAACAGTTAATGCATACTTATTATTTACAACAAAATCATTGTTATTATCCAGCAATCCAATTGAAATATCTTTGTTACTACCAACGCGCCTTGCGACGCGCCTCTCCCGCCCGACCAGGCGCTTCCTATCTCCCCCAGGTCGGGTCCTCCCGATCAGGAGGATCCGGCAGCATTGGGGGGGAGGGGCAATCCACCCGGGGGAGGGAACGCCAGTAGTGACGTCCCCTCCCCGCCCACGGATGCACCGCCCCTCGATCCCGCGCTAATGCGCGGATAGGTGAGGCGCCGCCCTTCTGCTGCGGCGCCTCACCCCGTCCTGAGGGGCGATTTCGCCCCTCCTCTCTCGCTCCGCCTCCTCCTTCTGCGTCATAACTGTGTCGCAAGAGAAGGTGACGGCGGACCAACCCATGTCTCCCCTGAGCATGGTCCTAATAAGGGCCGGGGGAGAGAGGTCCGCTCCTACCACGTCTATTAGGACTCGGCGCTCTGCCACCCACGAGGAGCATTCCCCGAGAGTGTGTTGCGCCGAGTCCACCTCGTCACCACAGTGGTGACAGCGGGAAGTGAACTCCTTGCCTATCCTATGCAGGTACTCACCGAAACATCCGTGTCCGATGAGTATCTGCGTTGTACAGAAGGACAACTCCCCGCGGGCCCTGTCCACCCACTCCTTTAGAAAGGGCCGGATGGCCTCGGCGACCCTCATTTCCGACCGGCCCGTCGCCCCCTCCAGGTAGATGTTCCACCTTAGGAGGAGGCGTTGACGGGCCTGGTCCTTCGCCAATCTGATGGCCCTGGCCAGATGTTCCAAATCTCCCCCAGCCCGGAGCTCCTTGACACGCCGATAGTTTTCAGCGTGCATCTGAGCAAGGAGCTCCAGCGGGGGGAGACCGGCCAGGGCCGTGGCGGCCATATGTGACGTCGTCCGATAGACCCGGGCGAGGCGGATGGCGAGCCACCGCTGTATGCGGTGCGCCAGCGAAATTAATCGCTGGGTGGTCGTCAGCGCGCTCGCCCAGACCGGGGCCCCGTAAAGGGTCATACTCTGGACGACGCCAGCATACAGCCGCCGTGCTTTTCTCTTGAGGCCGCCAAGGTTGGGCAGGAGGTCACCCAATACATTAGCCACCCTGCCCAACTTGGGAGCCAGAAGCTCAAAGTGCTTCTGGAACCTCTATTTGCCATCCAGGACGAGTCCCAGATACTTTAACGTGAGACCCGCCTTCATGGAGACGTTGTCAATCCAAACCCGGGCCCTTGGCGGCTTCCCCCTTGACCTATTATGCATGAACATCATCTCTGTCTTAAGGGGAGCCACCGTGAGGCCCATCGCTTTTAAGGAGCTCACCACCTGGTCCACCGCCAAACGGCCCAACTCGAGGGATTCAGCCAGCCCCTGCCCTCGGCCAACACCAAAGTGTCGTCTGCATAGCAGACGACGGTGCAGCCGGGGGGGAGGGCAAGGCGGAGGACTTGGTCATACGCGATGTTCCATAATAGGGGTTCTAGCACGGACCCCTGAAGAACACTGCTGTATACCGCCCTTCCGCACTTGAGTTCCGCTTTGTTGCGGAACTCCAATCTTCTGTCTCGGAAGTAGTCCCTTATCACTAAGACCAGGTGGGGAGCGACCCGGAAATGGGCCAAGCCCGCCTCCACCCGGTCCCAGGGGAGTGAGTTGAAGGCGTTGGCGATGTCCAAGGACACCGTTAACACAACTCCCCCCTCCTCACGACGGCCTCCGAGAGGGACCGGGAGGGACCACGCTCGATCGTTTCTCCCGAAAGCCGTATTACTCGTTGCTGAGCTTGGGACTACCGCAGGACAGGTGCCGGACAAGGCGGGCGTGTATTATCCTTTCGAAAAATTTGCCCGCCTTGTCCAACAGGCATATAGGCCTGTATTCGGAAGGGCTGTCCTCCGCCTTGCCCCCTTTCTTGAAGAGGACCAAGTTGGCCCTCTTTCAGGGGCTGGGGAAAACTCCGGTCCTCAAACAGGAGGTGAAAAGCCGCATCAGGCGGCTCTTCACTTCCTCATCGCCAAGGCCCATACTGTGCCTGGGATGCCGTGAGGGTATGGCGCCCTCTTTTTGGCGCCGAGCTTCCTGACGGCCCTGTCCATCTCCACCATTATGACCCCGATCTCTTCTTCCTCCCCGTCTGGAGGGAGGCTCTCATAGGGGGGGATACAAACTTCCCCCCGTGGGAAGAGAGCCCCCACAACCCTATCAAGGAAGTCGAGGTCCAGGGACGCCGTCGATTGGGGCGCCCAATGGCGCAAGCGCCTCATCCCGATGTGATAAAGGTGCCCCCATGGGTCCCTGTCAATGGTGGAGAGCAGGTCGTCCCAGGCACGGGCCTTAGCCGCAGCGATGGCCGCCTTGAGGGCATCCCGCTTTTCGCGGTAGGCCCTCTTGGCGGCCACCCTGCCCTCTCCTTCTCTTTCCCACCGGTCCATGGCCCTTCTGGCGCGGCTGGCGGAGCGCTGAAGTTCGGCAATCTCCGCCGACCACCAGTATACGGACCGGCGGGGGTATGACCGGGATCGGGGCATAGCGGCATCACACGCCGCCGTCATCATATCCCTAATCGTTCTCAATGGCGGGCCGGGTCCCTGGTGTGGGACCCGGCTCCGCCCATGTGGCCGCCATTAAGGCGACCACCAACTTGTCGCGGTCGAGCTTCGCTAGGGCCCATCTGCGCGGTCGGGTGCCCCCTGGCCGCGCCTCTGGCGCACCTCTTCCGGGGTGGCGACCAGCCGGACCACAATATATCTGTGGTCCGATATCCCCCGCTGGTCACCACCCGCCAATCCTGTATGAGTCAGGCCGCTTGGGGAGACGCTAGGGTGACATCGATCACCGATCTCCCCCGCGGCCCGACAAAAGTGCTTCTTCGGCCCATGTTTATAATATAGAGGCCGTGAAACGCGACGCATTCTTCCATTACCTCGCTCCTTCGGCACCTGACCGAGGACCCCCACAACGCCGACTTGGCATTGAGGTCCCAGCCCACCAGGACCGGCCTTTGGGGGCGCCTCGACATGAGGTCCCCCAGCCGGTCCAATAGGTGCTCGAAGCGGGCGAGGTCTCATGAGGGCGGGGCGTAGATCCCGACCACATCTAGGCCCCCCCCCCACACGACCGCGACGTAGCCGCCCCCCTCTCCACGAAAGAGATTGGGGGCGAGGCATCACCTGCTTGCCAGTAGATCGCCACCGAGCACTTACCACCCCGCCCCTCAACATCTTCCATTACTCCAGGGTGACTCCCGGGGACGGAGTGTGGCTCGGTAGCGATCCCCAATCCACAACCGTGCTCGCGGAGAGACTGCATAAACAGTTCCTGGGCTCCGCGAGCGCAGTTGAGATTCGCCTGGAGAAGGCGGGTAGCCATTATGGCTTAACTCCACACTCCTCCAGACCCTCCTCTACCTTCTTCGCGGGAGGGGGACCTTCAATAGGGCTTCCCCTCTCCCGCGAGGCAATCCTTTTCCCGGCCCCGGTCCTCCGCGGGTCCCTCTGCTCTTTGGGAGCACGGTCCGTCGGAGAGACCGGGGTCTCGGGCAATGGAGCCCCTCCCTCCGATTTCCGAGAGGAAGGCTCCCTTTCTTTCCCGGGCGGAGGAGTGGGAGGAGTGTTGGAGGCTTTACGTCTCCTCCTTCCCCCCTTTCCCCTTTGCCCCGCTTCGCCATTTGGCATGCGGGGCCTCCCACTCTATAGCCACAGGGCCGGCCAGCGTCGCGACACATCGGACATGTTGCCGGTGCGTCGCACGTGGCGACCCTGTGGCCAGCCAAACCGCAGTGGTAACAAAGACCACTGCAGTCGGCCTTGCTTTTGCATGAGGCCCTGACATGGCCCCACTCCAAGCATTTGAAGCACTGGAGGGGGCACTTCGCCAGGGCCTCTACGCAGACGGAGAACCACCTGACTCTGAGGCGTCCTCCGTCCGCGACATTCCTTGCGACCGTAAAGGGACACTGCAGCCAGATTGTCCCCATGCGGTCCGCCCCAGGGCAAATCGCCCCGGCCTTTATTTCCCCAGGTCTGCAACCCCCGGAGACCGCCACCGCGGAGATCAAATCCTCCGCGGTGATTGAGTCATCCAGGTCACAAACTCGGATGTCGGCCCTCTTCTAAGGACGCGCAATCTGTACGTTCCCCTTGTCAGCGAAGAGGGCCGACATTCTTTTGGCCAGGGCATCCCTCGGGACCAGGGATCTCGAGGGCCAGCGCGCCGGTGGCGGCCCTCCTGGCCCTGAGATCTCCGATCCCCAGCTCCCCTAGGTCTACTTAGCCCCTCGCCCGCCGCATAACATCGGCGTAGCTGCCCGTGGGGCAGCTCACCATGACCGCGGCGGTGCGACGAGCTTTGGGGAGGGCGGGTTTTTTCCCACCCCCGCCGGAGGTAACGGGTCGCCTGCTCCGCTCATCTTTTTCTTCATTTTTCGCCGCTTACTCCCCCCCCCTCCACTTCAGGCCATTCGGCCCTGGCAGGGGTAGAAGCCGCGGAGGGCTTGGGCACGTCTCCCTTCCCACCCCCTCCTCCTCCCCTTTTCGGGTCATGAGGCCACACGGGTCTCCCCCCAGGTATCCTAGAGAGAACGGCCCCAATGACCTCCAGGAGGCGAGGAATCAAGGCCATCACTAAAGCCTCTAGTTCCCCGCCATTTATTCCCGCCGTCGCAGGGGGCGCGCCTCCGGTCGAGGAGGGAGCTCTTACCCCCGCGGCCCCCTGAGGCCGGCCGGCACCAGCCCGGCGGGCCACGGGGAACGCTCCCACGCCCGCCGTTACTAACCCGGGAAGCCTTCTTCTTTTTCTTTTTCTTCTTCGGAAGGGATCGATCCACCCCCTCGACGGGGCCATCCCGCGGCCGAAGAGGGAGGGCCTCCACCGGGGGTAGCGTTCCCGCCGCCATGTCCCTGGCCACCTCCTCCCGACATTGTTTCCCGATCCTGATCTCATCAGGAGTCGGACGGAGTGGCAGGGCGGACCCTTTTTTTTGGAAGCCAGGGGAAATGCTTTTACGCATACCCGCGGCCTCCGGAAGGTTATGTGGAACTCCTCCCCCGCCGAAAAATCGACGGGGACCCTACCCACTAAAACCCCTGGCGGGTCCGTCCTCAGCGGTCGTCAGGGGGCCCGCGGGAACCACTTGCGTATTACATCCACGGGCCTCCCTCCGTTGTTCTGAGGACTCTTCCCGGACCGGGGGTAATAAATCACGATCCCTCTTAACAGCGGCGCGGTGCGACTCAACACCGCGCCGCCTCCCTCCCGGGCTGCTATAATAGGAGGGTGCGCTCGTGCATACCCTCTCCCCAGCGACCGGTAGGGGAGAGGGGAAACCGGGACAGGGCGTACCCACCCCAGGGACGAGCCGCCCCAGGACGAGAAATCCGTATGAGCCCCGCCAAGAGGCGCCCTCGGTACGGTTCTCCCCGGCGCCGACCACGATGTTCAGCCGGCGCCGTGGCCCCGGTCTAGATGGCAGACCGGGGCCCTCTCCGCCGGCACGCCTCCCACAGGGGGGCCCGGGTCGACCGTATTCGGTGGTCGACCCTTACGGTGGCCCGGCGGCCGTCCGCCCGCTGAACCCCCTCCTCCCACTAACGGACACTCGGCACCACATACCCGGTGGCCCAAGTCCCACCCCTCCTCTCGGCACACCGCGCAGGCCACGCTCTCGACGCAGACCCGCGCGATGTGCCCGGCCCGGCCACACCGGTAGCACAGCCCACTCCGGTCGATAGACGCGGAGCAGGCCGCCCGGACATGGCCGGGCCTCCAACACCTGTGGCACTGGAGAGGATGGGCCGCGAGCATCTCTATCCACGCACCCGCCCACCCCAGCGCCACCTTGGCGGCCGAGGCGAGGGGGAGCCGCGCCCATACGGTTCCCTCGCCCCGCCAACTCCACCGGATGAGGCCCAGGCGGATCTCGCCCGGCCCACATCCACCTCGCGCTGCGAGACGTGGCCCACCTCCTCTATTTCTTCCGGGAGGACCGACTCATCAAAACCAATGAGTCGGACCTCCCCCATCCTGCAGGGCCGTGTTACCACGGCCCTCGGGAACGACGCCCTGAGCTTGGAAGCCAGCGCGTCTGCCTCCCTCTCCTTGCCGGGCCCGGCCAACCCAAAGAGGAGGCCGCCCCTTGCGGCCCTCCTCACAAAGGCGGGCCGGGCCCCGCTCGTGCCCGGCGCGATATCGCCCCTCGCTTTACGGAGGGCCTCCGCGTATGAGAGGCCCCTCGGCTCGAGGCGAACCGCCACCGTTGCCGGTAGCGCCGGCGGCGCCCTAGCCGCCGCCGGTCGCTCCGGGCTCAACCCTTCCCCCCCGACCTGTCCGGGGTCTTTTCTTCTCTTTCTGCCGACCCCCCGGCCCAGGGCGACCGAATCCCGGTCGTGCCACGATCCACCTCCAAGCCCTTTCCACATTCCAAGACAAATATTCTGTCCTCTAACTTTTCCTTATCCTTCTGCCATCCTATCCTTTCCCTTCCTATTCTTTCTTTCTCCATGTCCCATTCTTTCCTTTCTTCCTCCCACTTTGTCCTTTCTTCCCTCCATTTTATCTCTTTTTTCTTCCATTCTTTTAGCTCTTTCCTCAAATCGTTTTCCCTGTCCTCATCCTCGTCTATTAACCTATCCAACTCCGTCATCTGATCCTCCAGATACTTCGTTCTCGCCTTGTACACCCTCGCCATATCCTCACCGTACCTGAGCATCTCTTCCTTCCCCATGGCCAACTTTTCCTTCTCAGTTTTACTCATCCTCTTACTTCTGACCAATACCTCCTCCATTCTTTCCGCACTCTCCCGCATCATGTTCATCCTTGTTAATATAAAATTCCTGTTTTTCCTTCTCCTTGCAGGATCTGGCCATGCACCAGATCCTACCTCATGCCTTATTCCTTCTCCTTTCCCCACATCCTCTCCCTCTGTCCCTATCCAGATCTTCTCTTCCTCACTCTCCTTTCCCAGTTTCCTCCTCTTTGCTCCTCCGACATCTCCGTATCCTCACTCTCTCCCCTCCCCGCGGCGGTAGTTTTGACTACCGGAATGCCCGCCGTCGACACCCCGGCAACTCCACCCACATCCATCGTATGTTCACGACAGGGGGGAGCGTGAGACCATAGCCCCCCCCGTGCCGGCCCGACGTATCCGACCTGCCGGAAGTCTTCTCTCTGGTCGTGTTCATCATCATTTTTGTATGGGGGGCATGACGGCGGCCCCCCAACCCGGGCGGATTTTTGGGCTGCCCCCTAGAGCAGTTTGGTTCAACAGAACTTAAGGAGCCCGCCCTGCCCCCGCTGTGGATCTCCAGTGAAGTATTCACCGAGGATCTTACTACTCCCGGGCGCAGCTGCTCACCCGGGAGACCGGTTGCCATGCTGGCATTAGGGACCCGACAGCCGCGGTGAGGTCGGTTCGCCCGCACCAGCTGCCCTAAGAATAACCGGGCGCACTCCCCCTGATACCCTCGGGCGCCGCTACCCACCCAAGAGACCGGTACCATACTGGCATAAGGGATCCGGTACGCTTCCCTGCTGTAGGCGCCTTTGGGAGCCACTCCCTCTTTGAAGCGAGAAGGAGGGGCGCTCTCCGGCCCCTAATACTCATGGGCGCAGCAACCCACCCGATGAGAGCCATTTAGTCGCCTTTTACGACACGCAGGCTATACGTTGGGGGTATTCTTTACGTCCGCCACCCACGCGGACATTTTTAACAATATACTAAATTCAGAAATATAACATAACCTATTTTATTCTTTACATTAATAATTGCATTACAATAATTTGTATGAGATTAAGAGAATATTTACAAATTATTAATTTTATTATATACTTACCTATGATACGAAAATCTTTTTTGATGATGACTGCCGCATAAAATACAATAACATACCATCTTTTTGACAGCAGTTGCGGATTATGTGCAGAAAACAGCAAAGGAAAGAACAATGAAGAGAACACTATATCTTCTGTCTCTCTGTTACACCTTCAAGTTTAGAGCCGTATTCCCCTTCCAGTAGAGAGTATAAGTTCTATGGCAGCCGACAACTGTTCGACGGCATTACGAACTGGCCGCTCGTCACCCAGGGCTGTTCGAAACATTAAGAGTCACACAAAAAACACTTGGCCGTGCCTATAAATACCCGGGTATATAAATAATTTCAATATATTTGCTAAATAATATTTTGTATATCAATTTGTAAAATTCAAAACAACTTATTACGACACGGGCACGCCAAGTGTTTTTGTGTGACTCTTAATTTTATTTTATCTTAATTTTTACAAGGTTACCAATAAAAAGAAGTCAATAGTTACCACATGTGGTGTGAATATACACAAAACTATTATATACACAATGATATTTTTGTTTGATCTAATTATCATTTAACATCCTTTTTGGAGAAAATAAAAATTTAAATAATATATTTTAATGTCTTTGGATTTATATTTTCTGAAAGTATGTATGTAAAATATTTTCTATACGAACATATTTGCTTTTATGTAATTCTATCCATGTAGGGAAACATGTGATTTATTTTCACTTGGCCTAACTACCTGATACTACATTTTTTGTAAAAAATAGAAGTTTAAACAACAATATTTTTTATTAACATTTTTAAATGTTATTTTACAAATAAAATATTTTTTATAGAAACATTAATTTTTGTATAATTCCACTCGTGCAGGCAAGAAGCGTGAACTTGGCGTCTTTTTTCACCTTTTTTTTAAAAAGATAGGTATTGTTCACATTTATGGTTTACAGGTATATCAAATTTTTTTCATAAATGATTGCATATTTATAAAACACACACAAATTTGACATAAGTTTCATAAATAATTATAATTTTACAAGATTTGCGTATCAATTTAACAGAAGACTGTATTTCTTCTATAAACGCTTGGCTTATACGTACGATGCGAGCACTCAGTTGCTTTGAAACGCCGAGTGAAAACGAAAATATTCTCTTTTTCAGTCGCTGTTTTGAAAAACGGTCGTGTCAGCGAGTGAGAACGAGAAGAAGAGGTTAACATTCTCCTTCTCACTTACGCGATTCTTACTTTGTTTTGTACAAAATACTACCGCGTCTCTTGACACCAACACGTGTACACGACTTAACCACATGGTTCATGCGTCGCTGACTGCGCAGCTGAGTGGCGCCTCTGACGGAGAAAGGCTGAGATTGACATTAATAGAACGTTTCTTAATCGTAAAATTTTGCCATTTCGGACTTTCCACTAAAATATCTTCTCTCATGAACTATGTAGGACAAATATAAAGATAGTTTTATGAAGTAAATCAATTCCAAGGAATCGATAGAGCCTATCCAGAAATTCATCCGATTAGCCGTTATAACCGAACGAGAAATCTTGCCTACGTTGAACTAGTTGGTCGGCGTAAGTTATACGCGGCCGGTCTTACGCCGTTCCTCGCTTCGCGCGTTCACTTGGCGCGAGACGCTACAGCGTCTCTTGATATTTCGATTTGTAACTTATTAAAAATCGCTATATTCCTACTTATATTTGTATTTTCTTTATTTTTTTGTGTAAATATAATTTACAATATACTTTTAATGTTTTAATACTGTTACGTTTATAATATTATAAAATAAGTTTTATATATGATAAAAATATTTCTTACTTAATACTTGAACATATCGCGGATCTCTCAAACTAATTCAAAATTAGTTTTTTGTCAAATAATCTATTTTCAATATTTAGTTTTTACTGTATAATTCAACAAACTACAATTCAACTTCTTAGTGTTACTACTTATTCGAATTAAGTTAGGTTGAGTTGGACTGCATCAGTGAATGAAGGATCATGTGGGTTAGGTCCTCGCCCGAACATAATCGGTTTGGTCTGCTCGGTCCACTTTGTCGTTTCGGGTTAGGTCGGCTTACGAGTTGGATTAGATACCTCCTACTCCTCGGCCTTCACTCCAATGTAGACGCTGCTCTGCCCGCCTGGACTAGCTTTTGCTCACTCCTCTACTATCTTACGTTGTGTCACGACCTCGGCGCCTCTCTCATCTCTCCTGAGTAGCCCCGCTGCGGCTGTCTCAACATGCGTCTCGATCGCCCGGCCTGCAACCGCGTGCTGCTGCATACTCCCGCCTGGCGCAATGTATGCGGACGGCACGCTCGCATTCTCGGCGCCACTCGACTTCTCTGAGGTAGCTGTTTGGTAGTGGATGAGGTGCTGGTTCCTAGCGCCCGTTGATTCGGCTTGTTGATGTTCTCTCTTCCTCTTATTGCGTTTTTCCTTCCTTCTATGTTCTCTCTCTTGGCGTATTTTGCTCGCCACTCCCGCCGGGTAGCCTTCCCTCGTTTTGATACGCCACGTGGCCTTTTTACGCTCACGCATCATTGATTTTCTGTGGTGATGTGGGCCTCTCCGTGTCTCTGTTCCAATGAATTTGGTTATCTTTTCATCGGCTCGGATTTCTCTTCGCGTCCGGTTATCTAATTGCATCCTATGATCTATACGTGGTTTGCCCCTCGTACGGTTTTCTAATATCAATGACGCATCTACCTCATCAATTCTATTCACTTTTATCATAGATTTTAATTGTAGTGTGTCTCTCGGCGGCGTTAGGGCTTCTACGTCAATCTCCTCTTCACTTGTATCTAGGTCGACGATGCGACTTATCTCCATCCATGTTGTTGCTCGGGCCACTCCTCTACTCGTCGAAGGTGTTGGCTCTTGCGTCGGTGTGACCGACGCCTTATTGTTCTTCGTAATCTGCATAGATACGGGCGACTTGCTCTTCCGTTGGACTAGTGTTCGGTCCGGAGATTGTGTCGCGATCGGTATTCGCGTCGGTGGCGAGGGGGTCCGCCAGGCTTGCTCCTCCAGTACGCTCATCTCGTATTTTATTACGATGTCTGCGTCAGGGTACGTTTGCTTGTCCGGTCGTTCCGACGTTCCCGACGACAGAGAAGTTTTTATCGCTATTGGGCTTTGGCTGCGGTCGAGACTCTGTGACGATGTGTGTTTGAGTCGGCACACCACCTCGCGACAATCTCGAACGTCTCTCTCCAATTTTTCTATTCGGTCGCGCAGCTGTTGGTGTATGTCTTCCCGAAATTCGCATTCCCATCTTTCCAAATTTGCCAGTTCTTGTTCGAGAGCGGTCGCCTGTTGTTCGAACACCTCCAAGTCTATTACCTGAAACATGAAGAAATAGAAGAGCATTCTTGAAATAAGAGGATCGGGAGATGGTTGGATCATGTTCCGAGTGCGGAACGGATTGCTTCGGTGTCGCATCACGAGATCCGGTGTCACGTGTTACGTCCGACGTAACTTCTCTTCATTTCGATCAAGTGCACCTTCTGTTACCACCAGGAATGCAATAAATGCCCTGGGTGGTCGATGAACAATAGATTAACAATAAAGTGTCAAAATCTAACTATTGATTATTGCTCACATGTCGTGAGAAGCATCTTTCCCCTTCTACTAAAAGGTGATGAGAACTCGCGCGGGGGTATCTCGCCACCTGCCTATAAAAACAGGTGCGACTGCCCACACAGGCAGACAAAAAGTCAGATAAGACAAATAATCAGTCAGTCAGCCAGTCAATCAATCAATCAAACAATCAATCAATCAATCAATCAGTCAGTCAGTTTTTGAGTAGTAATAGAAGTTTTAGAAAGTCAGTTTCAGATTTTAGTTTTTAATTCAGCAAATCAATCAATTAAAACTCATCATACAAACAATATACAGGGTGTTGCGTCAACATATAGATCAGTACGACGGGTCACCTGCCCGTTAGGCGCGCATGGCCGGTAATGCAGGACCGATAATGCAGAACTTGCCGATATAATTATATGCCTACTTTATCCAATGAAATGTGCAATGCTTCTAATTATCACGATCGTAATGTATATATATATATATATATATATATATATATATATATATATATATATATATATATATATATATATATATATACGGAATAATTAAAATTAATAAGAGAATAAATAAAACAAAATATTTTTGGCTCAACATAATTTCTTAATTGTTTCCTGACACTAAACTATTTGATAAAAATTAGAGATTACAGAGAGATAATACAGAAACAATTATAAGCCTCATATTGTGTATTCCATCTCAGAGATAACTCGTGCAAAATAATGAATCAACCGGAAACGAAATTAATGATCGCAACTTAATCGATGACAACTATTAAACTTTTTTGATATACTCTTTACAAGGTAAAGATTCAAACGTGAATGAGAATAATATAATTTAAAATAATTAGTGAAAATATTGCCACTGGGAACGTAAGAGTGGATATTTCATTCAAACTTCGAGTGGATTCTGATTCTATGATAAGTGCATCGATTATAGTGAAAATATTCTCTGCGACTCAAAATGAAAAAATCACTTTATTTGAATGAAATATTATTTACATTTTAATCTTTCACTCATGTAAAATGAACTTTCAACTCTAAATCGCCGAATAAATAGTTTTCACACTAATTGCTCGAGAAACAATATTCTTACTCTATTTTTGGAGTGAATTTTTATTTCAAGAAATTTAGAGAGTAATGTGCTTGCAACTTAGTCCCGATACAGAGAACCCGAAATTTTTTATGAAAGTTGATTGTTTGAATTACATACGATTAAAGGCTGGATACCAAGAGCAACGACTCACGCTAGTTGCACGTACCGTGACAGGCAGTCGGTTTAAAATCCAAATGTTTACCTTCGTTTGGCCTTTAATCGCGACTATACACCGCGAATAACACAACATAAGCGAGCTAACGTACTACATCTTTTCAGTTCAATTCAATACATGGATCCGAGCAGAGCAGTTCTGCTTTAACGCCAGTCATCAACTACATCTCCTCTCTCTCTTTAAATGACATCCTAAACACACTCTCCTTCTATATCTCGCATCCTACATGTCTTTGTGTCATTGTGTTTATTTCGTGAGTGTAATTCGTACAGTTGTTTGACAAATATTCATCAAAGTATCGCGTGATATTGTCATAATATCATTAGTATAAAATCGAACAGAGATTTGTGTAAAATTGACGATACTGTGTAAAAGAGTGAGCAATTGTAAGGCAGTGAGAGTTGTAAATCAATAAAGGAAAGTTGTAAACCAATAAAGGAGAATTGTAAACTAATAAAGGGATATAAGACACAAAATCCAAAGGTAAGGATGTTAAATTATTTATTGTACACAACATTTTAAATTGTAACAAAACTTTTAACGAAATTATATAAAATTCAAAGACTAAATATGAATACTAAACGTAATAAAATATATTAATATGATAATTTTTATTTACAGGATGTGCTCGAAATATCCTCCATTGTGTTCTGCACATAAAACAATTCGTCCCAAAATACTTTGGCGTACTCTGGACAAGATTGCTGGAGAAATATTTGTAGCTGCAGTTTGGATACGATTAATTAAATCGTCTCTATTAATTGATACTGTTTGATACACTTGATCTTTAATATATCCCCACATAAAAAAATCTAGTAGTGTAAGATCTGGTGACCGTGGTGGTCACTCTTGGAGATTGCTATGTATTCCAATCCATCTATCTGGAAACTTTCTATTTAATACGTTACGAGCTGCAACCGAAGTGTGGGCAAGATGTCCATCTTGTTGAAAAATTATATTTGCCCGTAAGTCTAACGACATATTTTCCAATAATTTCGCCAATGTTTCGTCTAAAAATGCTGCATATACTTCAGCATTAATGTGAATGTGTTGCGGAAAAAAATACGGTCCAATGATCTTATTTTCCACAATGCCCATCCACACATTAACAGAATATTGTCCCTGGACGTGTATTTCTTTTACGCAATGAGGATTCTCTTCTGCGTAATGATGCTCATTGTGTCTATTTATTCGGCCGTCACTACGAAAATGTACACTCATCTGTCCATAAAATATTTTTCAAAAAAATCAAGCATTATTTTCTACATTTTCACCGTCAATCTGAAAGACAATGATATAAAATAATATATTCATTACATGTTTATTGTTTCTTATGCAAATGATTCAGTGCCTTTTATATTTACTTGCTCTAAAATCCAATCACAAAACGCCTCTCGGCGAGGCAAATCTGCAAGGAATAATCTTTGAGTTGCATATGTTTAAAAGAATGCCATTCAAAGTTATTTTTAAGAATTCGATGCACTTTTGTATACATCATATTTAACTCACGCGCAACAGCACGCGTGCTTGTGTGCGGGTTAGCCTTCACTGCTCTCTTCACCGCATTAATATCATCTTCAGAGCATCGGGGAACAGACAGTGGCCGCGTAGATGCATGTAAGGTGCCATTATTGCATATTCTTTTATATAATTTATGAAAAAAGCCATGTTTTGGATATCGTCTCTGCGGGAAGCGTTCTGCGTACAATATTGCGGCTTGCCGCTGATTTTTATAGCATTCGCCATACACTAGTAACATATCTGCCAGCTCTTGGTTCTCATACCGCTCATGCTCCATCGTTAACTACACTAAACGTAACTACACTTTTCATCCTTGGCAACGCTTGTTGATTAATTGTCAAATGTTCATCTCTACGTTTGTCAAATGTTTCTTCCGCGGTACCAGTATCTTCAAACACGTATTATATGACTAGCGCGCGATATATGGCTTACCTTGCTTTTCACTACTGTTAAATTTTTTTAATTCTATTAAAATTTGTAACGTTAATAAAAAAATAATAAAGATTCTAAAAAAAAGATTCTAGTTGTTCAATTCATCTATTTATTTACGTGCTTGTTAATCTTGATTATTCTGATTATTCACAATGTCTTCTCTGCCATATTCGTCGACTCGAAACATAATGTCACGATCACACACAAGCATGCTGGCTATCAAAACAATCACCACTTTTCACAACTTACACAACTATTCACAACTTTTCACAAAAAGTAAAATTATCTATCGTATATACTATCAATTACTAATTGTCAACGTCCACCAAAAGGTGCTTAAGATTCAATAACATGCGTAATTCAATCAACTTTCATAAAAAATTTCTGGCTCTCTGTATCGGGACTAAATTGCAAGCACATCACTCTCTAAATTTCTTGAAGTAAAAATTCACTCCAAAAATAGAGTAAGAATATTGCTTCTCGAGCGATTAGTGTGAAAACTATTTATTTGGCGATTTAGAGTTTATTTTACATAAGTGAAAAATTGAAATGTAAATAATATTTCACTCAAATAAAGTAATTTTTTCATTTTGAGTCGCAGAGTAAAAATATTTTCATTATAATCGATGCGCTTATCATAGAATCAGAATCCACTCGAAGTTTATATAAAATATCCACTCTTACGATCCCAGTGGCAATATTTTCACTAATTATTTCGAATGATAATATTCTCATTCACGTTTGAATCTTTACCTTGTAAAGAATATATAAAAAAAGTTTAATAATTGTCATCGGTTAAGTTGCGATCATTAATTTCGTTTCCGGTCGATTCATTATTTTGCAAGAGCTATCTCTGAGATGGAATACACAATATAAGGCTTATAACTGTTTCTGTATTATCTCTCTGTAATCTCTAATTTTTATCAGAGTTTAACGTCAGGAAAAAATTAAGAAATTATGTTGAGCAAAAAATATTTTTTTTTATTTATCCTCTTATTAATTTTAATTATTCCGCGTGTGTGTGTGTGTGTGTGTGTGTGTGTGTGTGTGTGTGTGTATCCGTTACGATCGTGATAATTAGAAGCATTGCACATTTCATTGGATAAAGTAGATATATAATTAAATCGGCAAGCCCTGCATTATCGGTCCTGCATTACTGGCCAGGCGCGCCTTACGGGCAAGCAACCCGTCGTACTGATTTGTATGTTGACGCAACACCCTGTACATAACAATTGAATCACTAAGAAAATCGTAAATAAGTTATTGGATAGATAAAGGTTTGTTTTCCTAATATATCCTCTGACCGATTCCTAAACGTCGCGTTACACTTTACTTATATTCCCAAACCTTCGACCACGAACCTCTTGAATCCGATCCTAAGCTCCTCAATCTCTCTGTAATCACTGAACAGAAAGCGTTTCAAAATAATTTAAATATTTTAAAGGAAAGACAAAAGTAGAATCAGTAGGTAAAATCATTATTTTAGTTTATTCGCCTTAATACACACACACACATACGTTTATACATTTAC